CAGTAATACAAAAAATTGAGTGAAGTAGCTAGATAGCATTTTTCATTTAGTGAAAATTTAATTTATTCATCTAAGATTTACTGAACACCTACCGTGTCCCAAGCAGAAAATAACTGACATTGGAGTTAGGGGGTGGGTGCTGGGTTGCGGACAGTAACTAAATTATGTAGTGCATTATTTCATAGCACATGAACAAAAAACAGAGTGGAGATGGATGTGAAGGGATTTTGTGCATGTGTGCATGAAAGTCTGTGTTTATGTCGGACCTTAAACCCAGAGCCTTGTGAATGCTTATACAAGCGTTCTACCAGACGTATCCTAAACCTAGGTGTTTTAAATGGTTTTTGAATTAAGCCTAGGTAAAGAACCAAATCTCATGGATATTTAGAGATGGAGCCTTCTGGGTAGAGGCATCTACATGCTGAAACACAGGGGATAAGAGTATCCCTGGAGTATTTGGAGAACATGGAAGAACTGGTGTGGTGGAGTGAGGAAAGCAGCACAGTGAATATTAGAGGGTTTGTTTTTTTTTTTTTTTTGAGGGGTCAGTCATGGGGCTTGAACTCTGGGCCTGGGTGCTGTCCTCAGCTCTCAGCTCAAGGCTAGTGCTCTACCACTTGAGCCACAGTGCCACTTCCGGTTTTCTGGTGGTTTATTGGAGATAAGAATCTCACGGATTTTCCTGCCTGGGCTGGCTTTGAACTATGATCCTTAGATCTCAGCCTCCTGAGTAGCTAGGTAGGATTACAGGCATGAGCCACCAGCACCTGGCTATATTAGAGGGTTTTGAGCAAAGGAGAGATCTTGTCTTTGTTTTAAAGGATCACTTTGGCACATTGTTGGGGGGAAAAATATCAGGATATCTGTAATTATATCAGGGTAAAAGGTAGAATCCAGGGAGCCAGTCAGGGTGTTGATAATAGCTGTAATTAAGTTGAGAGATGATGGTAGTAGTGGAGATAATGAAAAGTGATTGTCACCAAGTGCCAGTGGGGGATGCCTATAATCCTAGCTACTCAGGAGGGTGAGATCTGAGGATCATGGTTGGGAGCCAGCGCAGGCAGGAAAGTCTGTGAGAATCATATCTCTAATTAACTACCAAAAAAGGAGGAAATAGAGCTGTGACTCAAAGTGGTAAGGGTGCTAGCCTTGATCACAAAAACTCAGGGACAGTGCCCAGGCCCTGTGTTCAAGCCCCAGGACTGGTGCACACATACAAAAAGTGATTTTCTTTTCTTTGTATTTGAAGACCACCTCTTTTGGACTGATTGATAGGTTGAATAGAGGATGGGAGAGCAGTCCAGGTACCTTGAAGGTCTTGCCTGAGCAGGTGGAAAACTGCCAGTAGAGCAGGAGCAGGGCTGAATTCAGTTTTGGCCATGTTAAATTTTGGTGCCCATTGGATGTTTAAAAATAGAGTTGTTCCCTAGGCAGGTGGATGTTGACCTGAGGTTGAAGATTCAGTCCTGAACTGTGATAATAATGTATGTTTCCAGAGAGAGACTGCAGAAGAAACATAAGTGTAATCCAGTGTCCTCATCCTGTTATTACTCCTGTGTTCAAATGAAGCTTTTTAGACCAAGTGTTAGAAGTGAGTTACTACTCTAAAGGCATGCACTACCTACCGCCATCGTCCATGCTCTTAATACAGTCATGTGTCATGTAATAGCATATATGATCAGAAATGCCTTTTAGACTGTATTGCCTAACATCACTGAATACAGCTCTGCATCATATCTATGGGACCACTGTGGACAGACTGAAATATTATGAAGAAGCACAGACCATTTGTGGACAGACTGAAATATTATGAAGAAGCACATTACTGTATATGTTAGCTCATTTACTCCTCACAACTAATCTCCCTAGGATAGGTAAATTATCTTCATTTGTATAGATGGTGAAACTGAGGAACAGAGATTAGAGACCTTTCAGAGAGTTCACAGCTAGTCAGGGGCAAAGCTGGGATTTGAAAACATATAGGCTGATTTCAAGACCCATCCTCTAAACACTGTTCAGTCCCACTCTACAGAATTTGACAGATTAATGTTGTGTTGTTTTCATGGAAACAAATTAGCATAGCCCTTTCAAGATTTCAGTTGATGGGAGAAAAATTCTATTATTAAAGTATCCTATGTAAAATCAGGTAGTGAGTACTTACTTTTTTTTTTTTTTTAACAGTGTCGTCCCTTTCCTTGCTCTTTCCATTTTTCCTCCTGTCCCTACCCAAAAGTTTTCTTGTTTTTAATTTGGTCCTGTGGATGGATCTTTTTCTACCCCAATGAAATCATCATATGAAGGCATGGAAACCTTACTGGATGTTTAGCTCTTAGGTGATAAAAAAAAGATGGCTGACTTATTTTCTGGTTTTCAAGTGAGATGGAGATATTGATGTGTTAGTATAATTGTCGGTAGCAAATGTGCATATAAGATTTTTTAAAAAAATATATGTAAACTGCCTTTATTTAATAAAATGTCCACACATGCAAAGTTCTCATATGTAAATACTATATAAATTTTGACTGTACATCTTATGACAGCTTAATGGTGTTCATATTTTAGGTCAATAGAATTTTAAAAGTTGCCAAACCCAACTTTGTGGTTATGAAGTTGCTGGCAGGAGGTCACAAAAAAGAGTCAAAGGTAAATACATTGTGTGGAAAATTATTGTGAAAACTCATGTTTTGAGTAAGATGTACAGGTGTTAGGGTAAGTTTAGCAACTGAAGAGCAAAACTTGCCACGTCTTGAGAGATACTTAGTGACTTAAGTTTCTAGTCTGCATCCCCTTTCCCATATAAATTACTGTATAATTTGGGAAACCATATGTATAAAAGCAAATTTGGGGGAGAAGTAGGTGATAATTTAAGTCATCTGACTTTGAGAAAGTCAGTACTTCAACAATTGAAGATTTCATTTTAAAGAGCACAAAGGATAGTATTTTTAGATTTTCCTCAGTAACACTGCTGTAGCAGCATGTGAGATCTGGCCTGCAAAGAAGCCAACCAGAGCATTTTTGCTGGCCATTCCTCATATCTCTCACTGTTCTTTTGCTGTATCTTTGTTCTTTTGTTTCCTTTAGCAATGGCTCTTATGTCATTACATGGTATAAGTGGCCCTGAAATAAAAAAGTTTCATCTGCTGATCTAAAACTCCTTTCTTGTAATTTATGTCCATTTTCCTTTTAACTCTTTGGGAAGAGCTTGATTTGTATGTGTTTCTGATGGCCTTCATAAACCAGAAACACTTGATTTTTTTCCTTCAAGCTTTTTAATTTTTGTGGTCACACCAATCTCTCATTTATGTTATCTTTGTTCTGAAAACAAACTCTAATAAAATAGTGTCTACTGTGTTTATTGTCTGCATTCTTGTAGATACAATACATGACTTTGTGGTTTTCTTTACAGGTTCCTCCAGAATTTGATTTCTCTGTTCACAAATATTTTCCTGTCGTGAAACTTGTTTGAAAGTCTGAAAAGGTAACCATAAAGCGGTGGAATCCGATTCCACTCTTAGGGAAACATCCATCCGTCTCAGTACATATGTGTAAAGTAGAATGGATTTTTTGGATAACAACCCATTATAAGGAATACTTGGTTTGACAGCCTTACATGACATTAGTGAAAACTGCTGTTTTAAAGTGGTTTATTAGTTCCATGGTTGAAACTGGTCTTACTGAATGCATTGATGAACATTACATGGTTTTATTACATATTTAATCATAAACCATTTTTTATGAATGATTGAGTGAAAATAGTGTTTGTAAAGGTTAATAAATTTCTTGACCAAAAAAAAAAGTACCATTCTGTTGATACAAGCTAAGAATTACAGATGTTTAACTTATACCATTTCAGCAGTTTAAAAAGAAATCATCAGCCAGGTGGCTCAGACCTGTAATCCTATTTACTCAGGAGTCTTAAGATCTGAGGATCACATTTTCAAGCTAGCGTAGGCAGGGAAAGTCTGTGATACTCTCATCTCCACTTTACCAAAAAAGCCAGAAGTGTAGTTGTGGCTCAAGTGGTAGAGTGTAAGCCTTGAGCAAAAGAGCACAAGGGAAGCCCCCTGGTCCTGAGTTCAAGCCTTAGGACTGGTGCACATACATACACACGCACACATGCACACACACACACATGCACACACACACACATGCACACACACACACACACACACACACACACAGAGTTTTACCTGAAAGAAGTTTCAAATTACAGAATTTCTAAGATACAAAGGGAGCCTAAAAAGCACATGGGGATGGTCATTTTACATGACATTGCATAAGATATACTGTTCTTTAAAAACTCTTGTTACTTTTGGCACTTGAAAGATTAACCACCAGTTGGGCACTAGTGTCTGACACCTGTAATCCTAACTACTGAGGAGGCTGAGAGCTAAGGATCAACAGTTCAAAGTCAGCTAGGGCAGGAAAGTCCATTAGACTCTTATCTCCAATTTGCTACCAAAAAGTTAGTAGAGTTATGGCTCAAGTGGTACAGTGCTAGCTAGCCTTGAGCAAAAAAGCTCAGGGACAGTTCTTAGGCCCTGAGTTCAAGCCCCAGGACCAATACACACAAAATTGAACATTATGGCTGCTGACAGTCATAAGAAGGTAAAAATGTACAGATCACGCTCCGTCTAGTTCTCATGAAACAAATTCAAGTGCTGGGTCTATTCAGTACTCTGTAGTTGTGAAAAACTGACTTTACCTCTCAGTGCTGGATGCCAGAGGCCCCAACTTCAATCAAACGATGTCATCACTGTTATAAGTAATTTTCAAAATTGACATCCTAAATTTATATCAATCTTGTGAGTCATTTGTCATAAGCTAATTATATAAGCTACAACAGAAGTACAGTATCTCTTGCCCTTGCTGAACATGCTCAATTTCCCACTGCATGTAACCTTCAATAACTAATTTTTTTAATTTAAAGTAAGTGCAGATCTATCCCAACATTTGTCTTGCAAGTGCTGTTCCTCTTGGCCTATGCTCTGCTGTAGACATGCCTGGAACCAGCCCCTTATGTTAGAAGTCTGAAAGCCAGTCATTTTAATAGCAGAGACCAAGATAACTTCACTTTTGCTCATGAATATGAAGCATAGTAAAAACCACAAATGTTTACATGTCATTTACTTGTTTGGTACAATAAGAGTTACAAAATATTATGCAAATAGTCTCTCTTTAAAATTCTTGCAATGTGGAGGACACCAGAGGAAACCCATACAGTTCTCTGCGTAGCCAATTTCTCCTTTGTATCAGAGGAGTTCTGTTGTAGGCTGCTCTTCCCTCCCCCTATATAGTGTATACCAAAATAAAGAAGTGGTAGTCTCTCACCACCATTATTGGAAAAACTACCTATTAGCCAAAAAAGTTTCACCAATTTTCATATCTTATTACTGGCATATTACAAAAACATATCTGACAGATCCATTTTTTCCTACATACAATATATACTACGATTCCATAACATCCATCTTTAGTAATACACTTTATAGCAAATTTCAGTTATGAGTACTGAATTACTCATATTTTGTAGTTTCTCTTCAGTTCTGCCATGAAATATGTAATTCCAGTTTTGATTTAGAGTGTATGATTCTGCTTTTCATGTTGATCAAGTAAACTTATGGTATCTCTCTTCTGATCTTCAGCATTAAAAACTAAAAAGGAAAAAAATATTCTGGAATTGAACATTTTGCAAAACACTCTGGTACATCTCATTTAACACAACTTTCTTCAAAGTGTCATAAAGAGGTTTGTATCTGTGATCTCAGCTACTTTGCAGACAGAAGCAGGAAGATCCTGAGTTCAAGGCTGGTCTGCACAAAGTTACTAAGAACCTTATTTTCCTCCTTGGCCAGTACTAGGGTTTAAAGGCCTCACACTTGCTCTGCTAGTGCTCTACCACTTGAGATCAACCATGCTTTTTGCTGATTATTTTGCAGATGAATATTTGCTCTTAACTGCAATAAAAAGGTTATAGAGTGTGGTAGCATACTTCTCTAGCAAGTATGACAAGTTTGATCCCTAGCACCATCCATTACAAGTTGGAACAAAGAAAAAGCAGATAGGGATAAAGCATAGAATACAGAAGATTGAGGAAATTAGTCTGCAGCCTAAAGAGGCAGAAATTTTTTTAAGTGTCAAGAAACAGGAATGGAGCCGGGTGCCAGTGGCTTGCCTGTAATCCTAGCTACTCAGGAGGCTGAGATCTGAGGATCATGGTTCAAAGCCAGCCTGGGCAGGAAAGTCCGTGAGACTCTTATCTCCAATAAACCACTCGAAAACTGGAAGTGGCACTGTGGCTTAAGTGGTAGAGTGCTCACCTTGAGCTGAAGAGTGCAGGGATAGCGTCCAAGCCCAGAGTTCAAGCCCCATGACCGACCCAAAAAAAAACAACAACAAAAAACAGGAATGGAATGAAAAGACCTGCTAATAAATGGGTTGAAGAAACAGAATGGGAAGTAGCATTGTTCAGGACTCTGGCCAGGTGGCTAGCCTTACAGGATAGTATTGAAAGCTGTAGAACACTGTGGTACAAGTTGAATCAACAGGAAAACTAATGGCAGACAAAGTGAAAGGCAGGGTGGGGGGAGTTGTGGATTGGCAAAAGCGGGACCCAACATATCTTCCAACCAGTACCAAGTGCATCTTACGGTATTCCACTACCCTGCTGCTTTCAAAGGCTATTCAAGAAAAGTCTTGAAATGAAGGACTATACTATTATTAACATTAGACAGTCAAAGTGAAGGAGCAGAAACTAGTGTTCTTACCATTTGAGTTCTTGTCATTCTCTGCAAGGGCGGCCTGCTTGTCTCTTTCAGATTCCGCCTCATTTTCATCCATGTTGTACTCATCATCTCCCAGTTTGTGCTCATTTTTCCCTATTAGATGAAACATAAAGCCACTTCATCCCATTTGATTCCACAGGAATACCAACACATCTGCATCTGAGAGTTAACCTAATAGTCCATTGTCCACAAAGGGACTTGCTTCCAGTATAAGCACCATGGTACTTCAAGTGTGGCTCTGGTGGGGATGTGGGGATGGGGTAAGGTCAAGTGGTTTAGCACACAAGACAGACCCTAAGTGCATTTGAACATACCCAGTACCACAAAATAAGTTTAAAACTATAAAGAAACTAAAGAAACAACAGGTCTCTAGTTAATAAACAGCATGTCCTTAGAATGGCCTACTGATCCCAAGGCAGAATGGAGGTACTATTGTAAACCAAAGGATTAAACTGTCTCTTATCTATATAAAACGGAGCCATTGAGGCTGGGCTGTAGTTCAGTGGCACAGTGCTTGCCTAGCAAATGCAATGTCCTGGGTTCAATCCCATACATATCCCCCCCAAAAAAAAAGACCAAAAAGAAAATTAGGTAGAGAACCACTGAAAAGGGTTATACATTTAATATATGTAATAGGTAGAAAACAAAAGCTTTTAAAAGCATGCCTGGAAACATCTATTCTGAGTTTATTCTTCAAATGGGATCATTATGTGCATCTGGAAGCAGATACATCCCACAGACCTTACACTAGCTCAGGTCAACCCCTGTGCCAGTTGTGCTCGGTTAGCCACGTGAGAGCCATGGGGTATTTCATGAAGTGCTGCAGGCCCAGGTGGGATGCAATGTTTTTACAGGTTTAAGACACTGCATTATATCCCAGAGTACTCTGTTGGACTCTGTTGGTCTCACATTCCTACTATTAAAAGATGGGACTCTTATTTTACCTTTCTTTTCTTCGGTGTTCAAAGATGCACAAACTACCATCTCCCCAATCATTCTTTCCTCCATTCTTTCATTTGCCAGGCCCTATCTACAACAGGTACCACACATGGGGTGGGCCTGCCTGTTTTGAGACGTTTTATGTTAAGCACCATCTCAACATTGTAGACTTGTAAAGTCCTCTGAACTTTCTGTTAGCATTCATTTCTCTGAAAGCTAAAGTACACTGATGCGCAGTGCCCTTCCTTCCTGCTTCCCACTTGGTAATACATGTAGACAAAAAATAAACTGCCCTTAAGCAAAATTGAAGGAGACACATCCATTATTTAGGAGATGAAGGCTAGATAGAGATGCCTGTGGAACCCATCGTACCTTCCTCCAAAGTGCCCTGCTCCACCTGCCCATCTTGGATAACCAGCTGTTCCCGCTCAGGATCTTCAGGCTCCTTATTTGCAGGCCTTGTCAGCAGCACAGCTGGTGCTTGAGTAGTTTGGCCAAGTTTGCCAGCTCCCACAAAGCCTCCTGTGCCAAGTCTGTCTTCTACAGCCTGTCCTTGGCCTGGCTCTTGGGGCAGCCCCAGACTGTCTCTCTCAGGCTCCTCGATGAGAACCTGGATCTTGTTGGTTTTATCTGTGCACGGAACAGTTAGCTGATGTTAACAGCACTTTAATTGAAAACAGTGTTCCTGGGTGTGGGGTGTGGAGCTGAAAGCTTATTTTGTGACCTTGGTGCGACTGGTCTGTATGCTATAGCTTGTCTTCACAGTAAACAAGAGAAAAAGTATCAAAAGTGATCTAGACTAAAAAATTTGACAAGCTACAAGGGGAGGAGGCTGCTGAGACACACATTGGGAGCCAGGCATGCTGACCACCCAGGAGGAAGGCTGTCTGGGCTCCAATCCTGTCTTACAGTGCCACAATCCCACTGGTGTCTTATACTTTCACAGCTGCTAACCAACAAGATTGGCTTAAAAATATATTTTATCAATTTGAGAAGGAACTCTGTACCAAACCAATGGAGGAGGTAGGTGCTCAGATAACACACCTGTACTTATCAGCCCCAGTGCTGATTCCCAGCTACCTCTAGTCCTATTGCCCTCAGAGTAGCTGTAGGGACCAGAGGGCATGTACTGCTACTGCTTTTAAGATGCAAGAGGATGTGAATATAAAAGTGACTTCCAGGTTCCACCTACCTTTCTTCCCTCTCTTCAAATCCATAACCACCTCAGAACTTGGGGTTGATGTTGGAAATTTGCCATTGCTAAGTGCATGTTCTTTGCCTTGTGGCACTTGGGCTTGTGTTTGGCCTACTTCTTGCTGTCTGGGTTGGGAATCACTGAGGACTTGGAGCTGAAACAGTAGCACAGGTTGGCCAAATTAGGACTCAGTGGCAAACCTTACAAGGACCTCACACATGCAATCAGTCTTATCACCACACCCTTCTGACAACTCTACAACATGAAAAACACTATGATCTACCCTGTTTGTGGTATATATATATATATGTGTGTGTATATATATATATATATATATATATATATATATATATATACAGACTTGAGATTTTAAGTCCATATCTCACAGAAAGTA